CTAAAAGATTATCCTAAATGGTCTTACAGAGGTTTCATGGTGTGATGAAAGGGTAACACGAGAATTGTAATTCATGTCACACTGCTTTGCCCATTGCCATGCTCTTTCAAGAGCTTTCCAGGACATTATAAAGAAGATCTTATAGAATACCCAATCACTAGCTTGGAGCCTGATAATTTAAAGTTCACTATACCAACAGAAACAACCATAATCAGATCAACTTATAGTTACTGAATGCTTACTGTGTGCCAGGAACTGTGCTGAGAACTTCACCTGTATTATCTCATTTAGGCTTAAAATGAGAACCCAGGCAAGCTTTGCCCCTCAAAATGTGGTCCACAGGTCAGCAGCATGGGCATCACCTGGAATCTTGTTTGAAATGCAGATCTCAGGTCCTGCCTCAGACCTCCTGGATTAGAGCCTGCATTTTAACAAGAGACCAGGTGATTTATGTGCACATTAAAGTTTGAGATGTTCCTCGCTTCTCTGTGAGGAACTGTCAAAGCCCATTTTACAGAGGAGGAAAGGGAGGCTAAGAGAGATTTAAGTAACTTACATATTCATTTATCCAGTGGAATAAAACCAGGCAACTTGCCTCAAAAACCTTGCACATCACTACTGGTCACCTTCCTCCTTTGAGCCTTAGCCTGCACACCTGATATATGGAAATAATTGCGTCTTGGAGCTTTGATGTCATTTTGTGAAATGCAAGAATCACGCAAAGTGGCAGGCTCAGTGTTTGGCCCACAGATAAAGAAAGGCTTGATATATTTTCTGTAAAATAGTCTTTCTAATACTCACTTGTCAATATTCTGAAACTTCTACCATAACGCCTGCAAAGGACTTAGCCAGAATTTAACAAATGATGCTTATTATGTGTATAAGAATGAAAACCTGTGGTTGAGGACTGGACTGAGCAAGTATTTTTGCATGAATTTCCAGGCAAAGTGTGATTTCTGATTGTTTGCAAGGACAAAAACCCTTTCTGTACCCCGCCCCCCCACCCAACACACACACACGCGCACACACACACACTCCTGTTGCAAGAAACCTGGAGTGAGATAAGCAGGATCAGAAACACCATATCTACCCAGAGGCATCAGGCTTCTCTTGAAATTATTTGCTTAGCAGGAAGCAAGCTGCACCACGAGCAAATGTCAGTTTCTGTATTTTCTAGCAATATCTCCCTGCTATGGATGTGATTCTGGAAGTGTTTCAGCCTGAGTGAGTGAATGCCATTTTTTTATTTAGGAGCAAACTATAGTCGGCTTGAAATCTGTAATACAATCTATACATTCTTAATTGCTCCAATTTTCTTCACTGTGTCCTTTTATGTCATAAGGCCCCCTTTCTTTGTCACCAAGGAGATATCTTGGTTGGCACACACTGTGGGGGGATCACACAGGGACATGACATACTGGGATCTGGCCACTGGGAGGCTTGCTGGTGTCACAGGTGTGAGTCTGACCTCTGACTGATGAGCACTGACCCCTCACCCACTCTTTGTACTCTTCTGTACCCTCCTCCTGGGTTAAGCACCATCCTGCTTTGTACACATTTTCCTGGGGTGACCAGTGCCATTCACCTTTCTTTGAATGCCTTACATTGTGTAGCTACTAAATCTAGGGCTTCTGTTGTCATTGTTTTCCATTTACAGTGAGACAAGGGTACAGTGGCCAAGGCACCCCAGTTTAATAGATGGCCTAAGTTGAACTCCTGGCTCTGCAGTTGACTTAATTTTTTTGTGACTTGGTTTGTCTGTATTAGGTTGGTGCAAACATAATTGTGGTTTTTACCATTACTTTCTTTTTTTTTTTTACTTTTTTTTTTTTTTTTTTTTTTTTACCATTACTTTCAATGGCAAAAACTGCAATTACTTTTGCACCAACCTGGTAAAAGGGTAATAATAAAAATACTTACCTGCTTTATAGGGTTGTGAGAATTTAGACAAACTTAGAACAGTGGATGCACAGTAAGTATTCAGTGATGGCTCTTGGTACCTTCCCCCTGCCCCCCCCAGAAAATCTGTCATCTGGTCAGGACATTTTTGTGTTTTCCTTTAACAGATGAATAATTTGGAGTCACCTAACTACAGGTTCATAATCCTTTGTGCCAAAAAAAACTGAAGACAAAAGGGAATTCTTTTTTAAAAGTAATTCATTTGATGACCAAACTGACATGATGGTATTTGTGATCTTTCATTCCAGTTTGTATAAATATTTGTGTCACTGAAACGTAATGTATTTGGTTTTAGATGTGGCTACATGCACTGCTGGGGAGTTGATGAAGTTCTCTGAGCCTCAGACTGCTTGCCTGAAAAACAAGGTTAACGATTCCCCCCTCTTTAGGAGACTATAAAAAATGAGGAGGCAGAGCCATCCCATTTCTCTTCTCCCAAAGGGAGACTAACGACAGCTAAGACTTATAGAAGTAATTTAATATGACTGTTTCCTGAATGGACCATTTAGTGTGTCTCTTGTGTAAACAATTGGGTTATACCATTAAGGTGTGCTAAGGCCCAGTTCTTAATTCTGCAGGCTCCCAGGCAAGAAGGGAAAGAGCCAAACACTGCTCTGTGCACCAGTCAACCCTGCAATCCTGTTTTCTTCCCTCTTTTCTACCAAGCACTTATCTAATGTGTTCTGATCTGTTGAGTTATCTTCTTCTTGTCCTTCTCCCCTCATTGGAATGCAAGCCCTCTAGGGAGGGGTTTCTCAGTCTTGGTCATTACTATGTTCCCAGAGTTTAGAACAGTGTCTGGCAATCCACTAATTGTGAATAGTGAATGTGTGAAATAAATGAGTTAAGGAGCGGAAAAGGGAAACTCAACCTGGAAGACCCTTATTCACTTTATACGATGGTGTCTGGAGAGCCAGATTCTACCTCTTTTCCCCACTTTAAAATGTTTCGAGGAGCTTGGAAATCCTGCTGGCATCATGGGAAAGCAAACCCTAGACTTTTCCAGACCAAAAAGTATAGACTTGAGAAAAATGCATGAGGCAAAACATCATATCCCTAAAGCAGTTTCCTCTAGTTAGGGGATGAGGGAGGAAGGAGGGTATGGGGTTGGAAGTGTTAGGATTGTGGGATTTAATTATTTTTGTAAAATATTGTTACTTTTTAGAAAAAGAATCACAGGTAAATATAGCAAAAGTGTTTAGATTTGATAAAACTTGGAGGAGGGTACATGGATATTTAGCATATGATTCATCACAGTGTTCTCATTGTTGGAAAGATTTTACATTATAACATACTATGAAAAATAGAGATTCTGTAAGATCCAGGAGACTCCTTTCTGTGGTTAGGGGTGATTTCACTGAGAGATGGATGGAATTCACACATGGACCCTTGCAGAAAGAGGTGACTGGGAGAGAGAGAAGCAGGAACCACAGGGCAGGGCAGCCAGGTAGGATCTGTGGAGTATCCATGAACGATCCTCTTGTGGAGGGTTCATTTCCTTGGGGACTTTTCCTCTGGCTTCTGGAAGCAGTTAACAAACACAGCCTCTCCTTCTCTCCATGAGGTTACTCCCTTTTAAAATTTGTCCTAACCCTTTAGTGAAGAAATTCATGAAGGTATAGCTTCTTGCAACAGCCTGGGGGAAATGGAAGACTCGCTCCTATCCCGGAGAGGAAGCCTCATCCTGTTGAGTTGACAGTCAGGATTTCTGCACATGGCCATTAGTGCTGTGAAAAGTTGCTCATGGTGGGGGTTAGGAGGGATGGAGGATGAAGTCTTGATACTGAGAACAGCTCCTCAGGAGCCACTCACTGCTGTATAAAGCCTGTGCTTATCCTCATATGTTAGGAGGCTGGAATTTGAGCAAGAAAGGGAAGTGGACATCTGGATTTTACAAGTGTGGTAGATATGTAATAGAATGTCAATGGAAGGTCAATCTCCGAAATTTGGTTGAAGTCTGTACTAGTCTGTTTTCACGCTGCTGTTAAAGATATACCTGAGACTGGGTAATTTATAAAGAAAAAGACATTTAATGGACACACAGTTCCATGTGGCTGGGAGGCCGCACAATCACGACAGAAGGTGAAAGGCACGTCTTACATGGTGACAGACAAGAGAGAAATGATAGCCAAGCAAAGGGGGAAACTCCTTATAAAATCATCAGATCTCATGAGACTTCTTCACGTCCATGAGAACAATATGGAGGAAACTGTCCCTATGATTCAATTATCTCCCACTGAGTCCTGCCCACAACATATGGGAATTATGGGAACTACAATTGAAGATGAGATTTGGGTGGGGACACAGCTAAACCATATCAAAGTCCAAAACCTTAGACTAGGGGATAAGTATCCTCATATTGTAAAGACAAGTAATAGACACATCCAAGCCAGTCTTACTAAAAGATAGAAAATCTGATCCAGCAAATAGCACCCCCACCCAGCCGCATTTTCAGCCTATAAAGAAATGAAAAGAAATTAGAATGGGTTTTATTGGAAGGAGTCCATATAAATAGAGATCCTTGCCTTTTTTCCTGGATGTTTCCAACAACTCTTCCCCTCCCCCAGCAAGTGAGGCCTCCCAGGAGGACCCCCGTAGAGACTGGCAGTGCCCACAGCCTACAGAAGGGCGGACTGGTTCCTCAGTCCTGGTGGGAGGTCTGTTGGGGAGTGTCACCATCTGTATGGAGCATGGAGAGGGAGTTCCTGAGAAACCTCCTGTGTCCACAGGTGTGACATTAAGACTGAAGCCTGTGTCCTGCAAGTTCTGAAGGCAGGAGGGTATCTGAAGTAGCCCACAGAGGCAGAGGGTGGGTGGGCTGTACCTGAGCAGATTTATAACAAAGATGAGTTCCCAAGGACCAAGGTAACAGGGTCATCTGGATGAGATCCTTTTCAAAGATCACCTACAGTTAGATCTTTTGGGGGTTGGACTGCTGAGGACAGGAGGTGGTGGTGATGCAGGATTTTTGCTCCTTAGTTCAGCTAAATGTGAGTTCTTGTCTCACAACCAGAAAAAATTAGGCATGCAGAAACATTGAATGGTGAGAAGGATGGAATTTATTAAATGAAAAAAGCTCTCGGCAAAAGAGGGGATGTCCTGCCAACAGGTTTTCACCTCCCTAACTAAATATCAGGGCTACCACACACGCCCTAAAGACTTTAGGCCACTCCTTCCTTGCATAAGGATGAATTCCTGGTGGCTCCACCCCATTCCCCCAGTGCACAGGCAGGCACGCCCAGTGCACAAGCCATAGATTGTATTGGAAAAGGCAACATTTGATTGGTTAAAAGGCATGATTCAGAAAGAATCAATTGGGAAAGGGAGGGCAAACAGGGGCAGAAGTTTTCCCTCTGGGTTGCAGGTTTCATCTGGAACCAGTACTTCGGTCTTTCAGCTTTCAGGCTGCTTTAAGCTTGAAGGTGGGGTCTCACCCGGGACCCTTCCCTATCTGCCTAGGCATTTGTCTGCCTCGTGCCTTCATCAGAGCGAGACTGAAAGGGCCAGAGAGCCAGAGAGGCCCTTGCCCAGGTCCGAGAGCTCAACACATCTGCGCGGAACCTTGAAAGTATGGACGTCTTCACCACTTGAGGGCTGATGTCCAGCTTGGGTGATCTCAGGGGGAATTTCTGTAGTTTGCTCCTCTTCCTCCTTGGCTCTATGAGGCTGAGAGGGAAGGAAGATAGAGAAGGAAAGGTGGAAAAGGTATGAGAGACCAGTTTGGGCACCTTCATACCTACTGTAGTTGTCTGACCTGCAGGCTAGGCCTGAGTTAAGGGGGAGGAAAAAGTTGTAAATGTGATCTTGGTGTTTTGATGACTCTACTGGACTTTTCAATATCTAAGAGTGAGTCTTACTTAAAGCAAATGAAAGAGGTGGGGAGTTGCCTGAGCTCTTGTCTAGGGATGGGACAGGAAGCTTTGACGTAGCAGACCAGCAATGGGAGAAAAAAAGAGGTGTTTCCTGGTTGTACCTTGTTGTGACTATCTCATTTAATAAGCCACACAGAACCTGATATGTTGCTGTAAATGGCAAATTCTTGGTAAGTGCTAAGTGAAAGGCAGTTTTGTGATCATCCTTTTTTTTTAATCTTCCCTATGTACCAAGTGAGTCAGAACCAAATCACCACTTTGCAGGCACAGAGGGTACAAGGTAACAAGAGGTAAGCAATGCCTGACACCCAAAAATCCAAGAAAATGTCAGTAATCAAATCATACTTTAAAATTCACCCTCCGACCCACTTGTCTGGGAAAATGCCAAGGAAATAAATAGGAAAGATGAAGTCTCTTAATACACAATACACATTAGTATTGAACAAATGTGCTGTCCTTCCCAGGGGAACAGGATGTGTTGACCCACCTTCAGTGACATTTCCCAGATGCTGTCCCTGAAAAGCCCCTTTATAAAGCCTTCAAGACACTTCAGTAAACTGGGGAAGGAGTTGTGGTTTTCAATGGTCCATAAGTCATGGGAATTGCAGGGTGTGAATCCATTCCTGCTCTTCTTGGCTTTGGTGTGGGATTAGCATAATTCTGTCTTTTAGTAAGCCTAAGTCATGCCATTTCTCCATGCCTGCATCTTATAAGTGGAGAAGAGCCTATGTACAAACTCTCAGGGTAAGGAGGATCTGGAAGGCATGACTATGCTAGTGAATATCAATTTTCATGACATGAACTGGCCTGGGGAAAGCATAGATGATTGAAATACACGCATAATCCAAAAATGTCATCTTAGTCAATTGCTTTAATCCTTACCAGTTATCTTCACTGAGACTTTAAGTTCTTAATAGACTAGTTTGAGTTTTTTTTTTTTTTTCTTCTTGCTAACTTAATACTTGGGGATAATGACAAGCACTGAAATGAAAAGAAAGTAGGTAAAGTGATGGGACAGGGTAGTTGAATTCGTAAACTGGATCATCAGCCTTTGAATGCTTTGGAGTCAGCTATAAATACTCTTTTGTGATTACGTGTAAGCATCTGGCTGATTTAAACCCAGTCTGTGAAATGTGACAGGATAGATGTACCCTGCACCTGTTTTTCTTCCTCTTTGGATTTGTTAATAATGAAGCTTATACAACTCAAGAAAATTACCGCTGACAGAATCACAGGAGGCTCAGTGCTTTGGGCGGTATAAATTTTAGGCGATTAAGTCTGCATTTGAAGCAAACCTTTGTTGGGTAAGACCATTTCCTGGAATAGAACACTACTGAGATTTGCCATGATTGATTCTGAGAATCTTGGGGTCACTTTCCCTAGTATTGTGAGAAAAAAAACCACCCACACATAAAATCAATACGGTCAGGAATAGCATCTACTGAACAGTTTAACATGTCCTTCTCTCCTTTAGGAAATAGCTTATTTTTCAATCACAGGAATACTTTGCTCTTTTGAATGCTGACCCTACCTTTATTCGAGCTGACCGTAGACAATAATTTAACCACAACAAAAAAATTTCTTTAAATGCATGATGGAAGTTGACTCATTAATGTGGAGAGAAACATTTAAGGAAACAGAATCTGTCTAAATCTAGCTACCCTGTTATTCAGCTGCAGCCCAGGGACCTGCCTGAGCCTATGTACAGCTCTCCGCCCCCACTGAGACCTCCAAATACTGTCCACTCCTGATTACCTTAATTCATATATATACACCCCAGTCATTTCATTCATTTATTATATGTCTTATTTATTTGTTTGTTTTTTATTTTTTTGAGATGGAGTCTTGCTCTGTTGCCCAGGCTGGAGTGCAGTGGTATGATCTTGACTCACTGCAACCTCTGCCTCTCAGATTCAAGCAATTCTCCAGCCTCAGCCTCCTGAGTAGCTGGGACTACAGGCGCATGACACGTGTCCAGCTAATTTTTGTAATTTTAGTAGAGACGGGGTTTCACCATGTTGGTCAGGATGGCCTTGAACTCCTGACCTCACGTGATCTGCCTGCCTTGGCCTCCCAAAGTGCTGGGATTACAGGCATGAGCCACCGTGCTCGACCTCTTGTTCATTTAATTCATTGTTATACATCTTGCTCATTTTGTTCATTTGCTGTACATCTCCTTGTTTATCTCATTGATTTGTCATTCAGCTCTGCTCATTTGCTGGGACAGGGCTGGCCAATGGAAATAGAAAAAGCTTCAGGACAGAAGGAATGACAGGAACCTTGTCTCCTTACAACAAAGACTGAATGAATGTGGGAAAACCTCAATCAAATCCAGGGCGGTCTCACTATCCAAGGAACCAGGTTGAACTTTAAAAGGGCCAGGGTACCCCAATCCTGTCTAAAATATGGGTTTGGTTTCCAAGTAAGAAGAACCAGTAACTGGTTACAACTCCCAAGGGGACTGACAAGTACTGGGCAAAGTATCTGAGATTGCCTGGCTCACTGGTTGGAACTGAGGACCACTGCTTGAGTCCCCTCCCTCTGGAATGGTGGTAGATGGTTGGGGGAAGGGGGGATTAAGATGGTAGCAGGTTCTGGTCAAGGTAGGAACACCCTGTGGAATGGGAACAATGCAGAAAAGTCATAACCTTATGCTTGTATTGCACTTAGAAAGCTCTGCTTCTCGATAATCAGATTTGAGGTAAGAGATAACTAAGAATTTTTCAATTTGATGCTGGACTGGACTTTACTGCTTCATAGTTAAGCTGTCAGATGAGTGATCTTAGTGTATTTTCAGTAGCCGGAGTTGGGTGATGCTTCTTGAGGACAGGCTCTGTGCCTTATTCACCCTCCTACATGTTTGAGCACCTCTCACTAGGCATTGGACACAGTCGACATGTCAGGGCAACATTTGAATACGTATTTGAATGTTTTGATATTAAGCTTACTCTACAACCTTATCCGTTATTTTTTCTCATTTCAATAGACTTTGTGGTTAGAAAGACCTGAATTTGGATTCAAGTTGTGTTAGTTAATAGCTGTAAGACTTCAGGCAAGTTACCTTCTCTGAGCCTCCTTACTCACCTCTGAATTGTGGATGACACAGTTACATCTTAGCATTATTATGAAGATGCAGTAAAGTAGAAAGTATAACACACCTAAGGGTGCTAACAAGGAGGTGCTGAATCTTTTGCTGAATCTCCTTACTGTCCCGGACCATTGTGAGACCCTCCCTCAGTGGTTAGTGTGCCTTTCATGCATTACTCTGAACTATTGTTTTTATCATAAGATATATTATCTTTATTTCCTAATAAAACAAAAACAAGTTAATTTATTCATGGATATAGGCCTGGAGTTCAGCATAGCCAGGATTCAAATCCCGTTCTTTCTGACTCATATGCCCACAGACTCTTTTTGCTCTTATTTCTCCTCTCTGTTGCAATTAGCAAGATTCTAGCATTAACTGTATTTTATTTTACTCTGGCACTTTGAAAATTGGATCAAGTTTTTGCAGTTTTGTATTCTAGCAGAATCACATATGATAAACACAAAGCAGACAAAACAAAATGCTAAATTGCTGTGGTTATGTTTTGCTGACTCAATATCCCATTCCTCAACTAGCAGAAATTGGTTTCCTTTGTGCCTATGTCTGCACTTTCATGTATACTCACGTGTGGTCAGCTGAAAAATGCCTCCTCGAAAGATATCCATGTCAAACTACCGGCAGCTGTGACCGTGATCTTATTTGGAAAAAGGGCCTCTGCAGGTGTAATTAAATGAAGGATGTTGACATAAGGTGATCATTTGGGATTGCTCAGCTGGGCCCTAATTCGAATGACAAATGTCTTTATGAGAGAATGGCAGAGGGAGATTTGAGAGAGATAGGAGTGAAAACACAGAGAGAAGGAGGAGGCAATGTGACCACGGAATAAGAGATTGGAGTGAAGCAGCCACAAGTCAAGGAATGCCTAGAGCCACCAAAAGCTGGAAGACACAGGAAAGGCGCCTCCTGGAGGGTCTTCTAAGGGAGCACAGCCCCACCGACACCATGATTTCAGACTTCTGGTTCCCAGAATTGTGGAAGAGTAAATTTCTGTTGTTTCAAGTGGCGAAGTTGGTGGTAATTTGCTACTGAAACCCCAGGGAAGTAATGTACCATGTTTTTATCAGTATATGATAAATATAATGAGAAGAAATTATATCTCTTGAGGGCCTACCCTCTTCTGTGATTTCTATCTCAGACATTGCTCCAAGCTTTGAAGTAACTATCAGCTTTGTTTCTTATCTTAACTAAGATATAAATCTTAATGCAGCAGCTGCCTCAGCTGGTGGTGTAGCTGCAAGGTCTGCTAACCCATCTTGAATAGAGCAAGGTCAGATGACTTCTAACGGAGTTTGGAGAGTTTGGAAAACTAGGTCTTGAAGACCCAAGGTCAGCTTTTTTGTCTTTAATCATTTGCTTAGAGGAAGGTGGAAAGGTGAGGTTCGAATTTCCATTAAATATGGAAAGTATTAATTAGGGAAATGGGCAAAGAAGATTGTCTCATTACCTGACAAATTAATTTTAGCTCACCAGCAACATGGTGAGATCTGAAGATCCTGCCAATGAGTAGTTTAATACATTCTTTGCAAGGAGGTGACAACTGCCACAGTGAAGAATGTGCATCATTTTAAAATGAAAGTAAATTCCTGTAGAATACTATTGAGGTAAAAATCAGAGTGATCTCTTGACGTCTAGAAATGAATGAAATGACCAAGGGTTATGTGTAAGAGGTTGGTAGTGGATAATTGCAG